CCAGTTCATGTCGGTCTACATAGACGACATCCTCCTCTATAGTTGGACCTTCGAGGATCATCTTGAGCACCTTCGGCGAGTGTTGGAAATGCCCCGTCGTGCCAAGTACAAAGCCAACCATGACAAGTGCGAATTTGTCCAGCAAGAGTAGGAATACTTGAGTCATTTTGTCACACCGGAGGGCATCAGTTCATTCTGGACAAAAGTCATCCAAGAATGAACGGAGCTGCATAACGTCACGGATGTCTGTTCGTTCCTTGGCCTTGCTGGCTACTACGAACGTTTTATCAAGGGATACTAAGATCGCGGCCCACTTGACCAAACTTCAATGCGAGGATCGACCGTTCGACTTTGGTGAGGAAGTGCGGGGTTCGTTTTTGGCCCTCAAAGCCGCATTACTATCCGCAGAGGTCTTGCACATTTATGACCCGCTATTGCCAACTCACGTCACTACTGATGCGTCGGTCTATGGCATTGGGGTCGTCCTCGAGCAACATCATGGCGTGGACTGGCACCCGGTCGAGTACTTTAGCAAGAAAGTGTTCACCGTGCACTCAATCGATAATGCACGAAAGAAGGAGGTCCTAGCCTTCATCCACACGCTAAAGCGGTGGCGGCACTTTCTCCTCAGTCGAAGTCAATTCCGATGGGTGACGGACAATAATCCGTTGGTCTTTTGCAAGACTCAAGATACGGTCAACAATACCATCGCCCATTGGATTGCTTTCATCGACCAGTTTAACTTCTTTCCCAATCACATCTTGGAGAAGTCAAACCTTTTTGCGTATGACCTTTCACGGCGTCCGGATCATTGCACCGCAGTCTATTTGACCTTCGAGATCGATGACGACCTGCGGGACAGTTTCATCCGTAGCTACCACATCGACCCCGAATTTCGTGACAAGTACGCAACTTACTCCTCTCCTAATCTAGCGCTATGATTGCACTACCGGATCCAAGAGGGGTACTAGCTTGTCCACACACAGGGGAAGGACCTTCTTTGCGTTGCAAGTGACTCTCACTTGCGTACGCGCCTTCTTGGAGATTTCCACGATGCTCCCGCTAGTGCTGCCACCAGACACGTTGGAGTCAAATCGAACGATTACCCGACTTCACAAGCGATTTTGGTGGCCCAACCTTCTCAGCGACGTCACGCGCTATTGGGAGTCAGGCGAGTTTTGCCGACGCTGCAAATCCCGCTATAATCGTCCATACGACGAGTTGCGACCAGTACCGGTCCCCTTACGCCGAAGGGAAGCGATTGCCATTGACATCACCAGGCTGTTCCCCAAGCACAAGACCGGTGTGGTTAGGATTCTTACGGTGGTCAACCGACTCACCAAGTTCGTCATGTTCTGGCCTTGCCGCTATCCTGGCAAGGCACCGGAATCGGCTGAGGTTCTCTATGCCGGTTGGATTTTAACCAACGGTTACCCCAAGGAAATCGCCAACGACCGCGACACTCGGTTCATGTCCAATTTTTGGTTGACGCTCATCAAACAATGGGGCTCATCTCTCAAGCCGAATTCAGCTCGCCACCCCCAAACCAATGGCCGAACAGAGAGAGCGCATCAGACCGTGCAGGTTCTCCTTCGTACTCTCATCCGCCCCGACCAAAAGGATTAGGTTGAGCGGCTGCTGGATGTGAAGTTGACATACAAGTTGTCCATTCATCCGGCTATCGGGATGTCGCCCTTTGATTTCGAGCATGGCTCGCCGGTCACTTCGCCGTTGGACACCATCATCCCACAGATTGTCGGGAGCGACGACCATCTTTTTTTCTTGCATCAGATGCAAGAGCTACTTGTCAAGACACGCAACCAGATGGCAAAGATGCGGCAACACATCAGCCAATAGGCCAATCGCCAACGTCTTCCTTGTCCATTCTGCGCAGGCGACCTCGTATGGGTCTCCGCCACAAAATCCCCTGGGGATGCACCAGAAGGACCTTCATTTTTCATTCAGGTGCCCGCCCACTCGCCTCTCTACCCTGTCTTTCATTGCTCCAAGTTGCTTTTCATGCCAGCGCAACATGATGACTTCCCCGGGCGATGATCGCAAGACCCACCCTCTATGGATGGTTTTCAAGAGGTCGGCGATATCATCTCCCAGCGACGCTATGACAACAGGCCGACCGAGTACTAGTATATTTCGCGTACTGCACCCATAAAGTTGACCGTTCAAGTTGGTTGACCCGTGTGGAACTTCAAGCAATAGCTCCGGATGTTCTCGCACGCTACGGATGCAAGTTGCAAGGCAAGCCGACATCTTCGGCTCCACGTCGCAGTTGCCTCTAGGTCCACCTTCAGATCGCCAGCTTCGCCCTTGACCCGGCTTGACTTCATAAGAAGCGGGGGGTGTTACATGCTGCACCTGCACCTGGGCACCACTTGAGGGGCCCGACGGTTGCGAAGGGGCCCCTAGGCCGCGCGCCATCCAGCACGCACTATGTAGGCCCACGGCGGCCTTTTTGGCCACAGGTACCGACAGTTGTCTGTTCAAACGTTGTTTCGAACTGCAGGTCCCAAGGCGACGCCTCAGGCCTGGTACACAGAAACGAGGCCACTTTCAGGCCAGGCGCGTTTTGGTGCCTCGCTCCATCAGCAACGTGGTCTGAATACCCGGTAGGGGCCCTGACCAAGTAGGTTGTTTGAGGTTGGTACCTGAAGCACGCCCAACAGGCCCAACGCTACTTATAGCTGGGTTGAGGTTGGGTACAGGACAGTTGGGGGTAGCTCACTTCTGGAGCGACACGTTGCTGGTTGAGCACTGCACTGTTTAGCGTCGCGCTACGGAGTTGGAGGTTGAACACCGAGAGGCGAAGGGGAGGAGGCGATACCAGCGTTAGGGACTTACCTGGCGCCATAGCTAGAACTCCCTGTGCGCCGACGACCTGCACACGACAACCACTAGACAGCGGTCCGCTCGGCAGTAGCAAAGGCATGTGAGACAACGAGGAAGGTGACTTCTTCTTCTTCGCCGGTATCCTTCTCGTCTCCCTTTGTCCTTCTCCTTCTTGTCCTTCTTCATCAGATACGAGAGAGAGAGAGAGAGAGAGAGAGAGAGAGAGAGAGAGAGAGAGAGAGAGAGAGAGAGAGAGAGAGAGAGAGAGAGAG